AAGGTCATGGTTCGATTCTGGTCAGGGCACAGGCCCAAGTTGCGGGCTCGATCCCCAGTGTGGGGCGTACAGGAGGCAGCCAATCAATGATTCTCTCTAATCATTGATGTTTTATCTCTCTCTCCCTCTCCCTTCCTCTCTGAAATCAATAAAAATATGTTTTAAAAAAATGAACCTTTAAAAAAAATCCCTTAATACAATAAAATTTTCATGATTATTTAATCCTTTCCTTGATAATAATTTTTTTTCAAATCACCTGGTTAGGTTTACACATTACAATTGGCTTAGAGTCTCAAGTCTTCTTTAATCCATAGGTGTCCACCTCCAGCACTTGCAATTTTTTGTTAAAGAAGCAAGATCATTTATCCTAAGGAGTCTCGTACACCGTGAATTTTGGCTATTACATCCTGGGAGGTTGTTTAACATAATCCTCTCTATCTTATATTTCCTTTAATTGCCAGTAAGATCTAGAAACTTAATCAAATTTAGTTCTGTTATCGGGGCCAGAATATTTTATAGACCGGGCTCTGTGCTTCCATTGGAGAAACATAATGTCTGGTTGTCTCTCTTTTAGGGATGTTAGGAGTAATCAACAATCATAGCCTAGGGATTGCAAGCTGGCAACAGGCTACCATTTCTTCCTCTTTTATAAGCTGGGATATGTCCAGAAAACTTGCCCGCATCAAGTGTGTGGCTACCCCAAGATAGAACTCCTAAAGGAAAGGCAGGAGAAATACTTAATTATTTTCCTTTATTTACTTATTTTCACATTAATGAGTTGATTCCCTAACACCTTCAAAAGCTGAACATTTTACATATTATTAAAGTCTAATGGATTTAAATGTATTTTATATACTTAAATCATTGCTTTTATTACTTGAATCAACTCTCAAATTGTCCCATTGGCCAGTGGGAACCTTTTGAAATTTAGCCCGACCTCATCTTGACATTTTCTGTCCCTGACCTAGACCAACTGTTTCTCCAAGGAGCCCTAGTTGTTGTTTTTTAAGTGGGAAATTATATTTAGAATCTGGGCTCTAGCTTCTATTCCTAGCCTCTCTACACTGTGCACTCCTTCTTACTATTGAGTAAGTCCTTGTTTCTAAGTCTTTTCAATGAACAGAGCTAAGAAATCATTTTTAAGGATAAAATGCATCGTGGGTTCACTTCATTTCCAATGTACAAACACGTTTTCCTTTTTACTTAACTTCGTCGTGTCATGTCTGTACTTCCTTTCTCTCTTGCTGAAAACCCCAGTTCCCTACACCACCAGCACTATTTCCCACCCACTGTGCATACCCAGGAGTCTCAGAACTGTGAGGCCAGTACTACCTACAGCAGTGTCAGTACTGGAAATAGTTTACATTGGTTTTCTTTCAGGTTTTCTCCCTGTATCCTACTAGGGTTGGGCTATCAAAATTACAGTGTTTTTAATTTTTTCACTCCTTTCTTCATGTGTGATAATGCTACTAACTGATATAGGATTGTATTCATTTATTTTCTCTGGTTTTTTTTTTTTTAGTTTTGAGACATGATTTATCAAATGTCATTATTTCTTTTTAATTGTGCAAAATATTTACAAAGTTCCAAAGTTAAACCTAGAAGAAGGTATATACTTGAGAGAGTCTAGCTTATATCCCTGGCCTCTGTACCCTGTTCACTCCCTTTTTCATAGGTAATGTTGAGATTTTAGGTTACTCTAATATTGATTGTTAATATGAGTAAATAAGTGTGTGTCTCCCACCCTTAGATATGGAATCATACTATACCCTTAGTATTTACTTATCTACCTTGCTTTTATACCTAATAATACTAGTATATTCTAGGGATCCCTCCTCGACATTATATAGACTATTCCTCATTCTTATGTTATAGCTTCATAAATAGTCCATTTTGTTGTTTACCCCAATTCATTCACTCAGTTCCCCATTGCTCAACATTTGGGCTGTTTTCAATTTTTTTGCTATTACAAATAGTGCTGCCTTGTACAGCCATAGATAGATAGATAGATAGATAGATAGATAGATAGAGATATCTCTATATATCTATATTTGTCATTTCATATTTTGCTGATATATATTAGGGATAGAGTTCTGCAAATAGAATTTGTAGATCATAGAGTAAGTGCATTTGAATTTTGTTGGATGTTACCAAATTTCCCTTCATAAATTTCCACCAGCTAAGTCCTAGGATACCTGCCTTCCCTCAGCTCACATGTCCTCAGACTTTGGGTTTTGCCCACCTGATGAGAAATAATTTCTCATTGTAGTTTTAATGTGTATTTTCTTAGTGAGACTGAGGTTGAGCCTCTTTTCAAATGTTAAAGAGAATTGCGTTTAGGAATCCTGCCCACCTCCCTGCCTGGCTACTGCCACCCTGGAATATGAAGATGAGCTAGAGAGAGTGACGGAGTGAATGAATAGAAGGGTCATTGGGCCATCACATGAGCAGGAGAAGAGATGAACCCAGCCAAAGTAATAAAATAACGCAGCAGAGAAAAAAGACAAAATACTGACAACCAAAGGCGGGATTTGGGTTTCCTTCACTGGAGATTTTAGGGAGGATTTCCTTGATAAATAGGCACTAAATGGAGAGTAGTTGAGGCAGGTGAGTGACTGTGATCTCTGGCTTCCTGGAAAGTGAGTGAGGAGATCACGGTACAGCAACCAAAGAGGCTGGGCCTGCATTGAGTTGGAGCCAAGAGAGAGTCCCTATATCTGCTGCGGTTCAGTCCCTGCAGGGGGACCCAGGGACAGAGCGCTGAGCATGCCTCTCCCACCTGCTAGGTCTCATGTGTCCATTGAAGAAATAGAGGAAAGCTTTAGTAGTTTCAGAGAGATGGATGGACAGGATTCGAAAACGACGCTTATCCAGGAGGTGGTAATACCCATTTGCAATTTACTCTGCGTTTGATCTAGGTGCTATGCAATTACCTGTTTTCTCCAAGCCTCAGCTTACTAAAAACGGGTAATAATCCCTGCCTATAAAATGAGGATAATAACAGTATCCGCCTTTTAGTGTTGCAGTTGTCACAAGGATAATCCATAAGCCTGGCACGTGTAAGCTCTCAGTAGCCATGAGCTCATTACTGTCGGCCGTGGTTGTAGAACTGTTATACGCTGCAGGGGAATTTGGAGATGAATCTTGAGGTTAAATCTCAGCTATAACTTCATTAGCTCTCGATCTAATCTCTTAGCCTATTTAGCCTTAGTTTTCTCCTCTGTGAAATGGAGATAATAAAGAAGTCAATGTCATGTCTCAGTATGAGTTGTCTACTGTTATCATCACCATTATTATATTGTTTATTTTTTTGTTAATTAAATTTCCCATTATAACTTTCTATTAAGAATGCTTGGCAGTTAATTTAGATATTGCCAAGAAGTTTATAGAATTAAGAGAGGAACGGTGTGCTGCGTTTGGCTGTATCTTATGAAACTGGTTGCCTGGGGGAATCCACAAAAACTTGCAGAGATAGAAGTGCTCTGTAGCTGTGTTCCCTTCCCGGTCTTGTTCAGGGCCTCTGGCACCTGGTAGCCCCATAGCAAGGAAATGCCAAGGAAGCAGGGCTCCTTTAACACTGGGAGGCTGCTCAGCTTGAGATCTCTGGGTTTATGCCGTTTTCCAGGGCTGAGTGCAGGCGCTAACTTGCTAACCAGGACTAGCAACCTAGCCTCCGTTAGCGTCAGCACTCTTAGCTGTAAGATGGAGAAAATAATAGAAGCCCCTCACAGGGTCTGTGTCTTGTGAAGACTGAACATGATTATTGATGTGAAGCTAAACGCCCAGCACGAGTGGGCTCTCAGTCCATGGCAGTGGTGGTGACAGGAGCAGCGGCCCTGGGGGTGGGGAGGGAGGTGTATTAGTCAGGATTAGACTGTGTTCACAAGCAGCCCCCAGACCTCAGTGGCTTAAACACAGGAGTTTAGTCAGGATTAGACGGTGTTCACAAGCACCCCCCAGACCTCAGTGGCTTAAACACAGGAGTTTGTATCTCTCTGAGACTGCATGTAGAACCTGATGACACGGTCATCAGCGGCTCTGCTCCTCAGAGTCACTTACAGGCCTTGACAGGACGTCCACTCTTGTTCCACAATCACCGAGGCAGGAAACGTCACAGATCAAGTTTCCACATGAACAGGACACAGGTCACTTCCGTAGTCACGTGGCCTAGCATCACTTCGATAGCAACATAACGACCATATGCCTGAAGGAGGAGGACTGAAAGAGCGCTCATGACCACCCTGGGGGCCCAGGGTCTGGTTGCAGGAAAAGGCAAGAATGATGGCAAAGGTGTGGGTGAGAATGGGAAGCTGAGGAGAGGGAAGAATGGGCAGAAAGACCAAGGGACAGTGATTACAAGCTTGGGAAGATCAGAAGGTATACCTAGACCATCGACATGGATGGCATTCATTTATCCTTCCATCCATTTATTGATTGATCGAAGAGATACTCGCTGAATTTTAGCAGAGAGGGACAACTGTGCCAAGCTCTGGGCTAAATGCTGGGGATCCTGAGTCGTGTAAGGTAATGATAGGGTCCCTGCCCTCACGGAGCTCACAGTGGAGTAGGTCCTGCTGGCGCTCCAAGCAGCGGGCTCTGCCCACTCTTCAGCGCCAGAGCGCCAGGTACTGGGTGTGGGGGTGGCCGGGAGGGCAGGCGGGTCTCAGCCTCTGCCACAGGCCTGGCAGCCAAGCGAGGAACAAAGCAAAGACCAGTGTGACCCAAGTGCTAGCTGTACTCAGCCCTTCTAGAATGGCAAGGACTTTGTTTGAAGGGTCCTTTTCATTCCTCCCCTCCGGTCTTTAATAAAACTCCAAATGATGCAAACGTACATACCCATACGGTCCTGGTAAACGAAGCTCACAGTTTATATAGTTTACATAGTTTTTCATAGACACAAAAACAATACTTGTATGCGGATACGTTTTATAGAGAGGGCTTTTGTTTCTTTGTTCATTTGTCCCCCCAAGAAAGCTGCTTCTCTCCCTTCTGTCCTCCAGCTCCCTGCGGTGGTCATCTGACTTCGCCGAGTGGCACCATCCTGTCCCCAGGCTGGCCTGGCTTCTACAAGGATGCCCTGAGCTGCGCCTGGGTGATCGAAGCCCAGCCTGGCTACCCCATCAAAATCACCTTCGACAGGTGCTTGCAACCAGAGCCTCAGGGGAGGGGTGAGAGGTGATCTCCATCGAGTGGCGTGGGAGGGCACCTGGGGTGAGTGGGGACCAGCCCTGATGCTGCACTGTCAGCAAGTCAGAGAACACGAACAGGCTGCCCTGGGTGGGGTACACAGTGCTGGCTTTGCCCTTGGCCTTGGCCCCAGGAGTGGGGTTTGTGCTGTTTAAGGGACCATGACTTGAGGGGTGAGGAGAAGGCTGGGGGTGTCAGAGGAGAGAGAGTGGGCAGATAGATGCCATGAGATGTGGAAGGAGGCATTAGCATCTACGGAGCATAACCCTGAAATTTCTAGGGTGGAAAGGCGGCCTTCCTGACCTCTGACCCTAATCCTACCCTGTCCCCACGTCCAGCTCCCACCAGGTTATGTCCCTTAAGTGGGGAGAGAAGCCACCCTAATATGCACACAGAGCAGTCCGAAAACTTTTCTGTGAAGGACCAGATGTAAATATTTTAGGTTTTGTGGGCTCTTGTGGATATCTATCACATACACTTTGCTTTTTAAAAAATATACCCCTTTATAAAGGTAAAAAGCATTCTTTGCTCTCAGACCATATAGAAACAGCCTACAGAGAAGGTTTGGCCTTGGCCTGTATCGGCTGACCTGGCCTGGAACATTCTAACCCCCCTGAGGCTAGTCCTTGTGCCTCTAGGCCTCAGGATGGGAGACAGCCCAGGCCACAGAGAGGAGTGAGAGAGCTGTGTCCACTGTGGGAGGAGGAGGACTTACATACGGTAGAGAAGGCCTCCACATCACTGGTGAAGGTGTGCAAATCATATTAAAATATCCCAGCCTGCCAAAATCTGATTGTTCTAAAGCCCTGGGTCAGACAGGGCCTTTTGTCATCTGCACATTAATAAGCCTCGGGTTTCTCACGAAGTCCTCATCTCCGTCTGCGGCAGATTTAAAACCGAGGTGAATTATGATACTCTGGAAGTGCGAGATGGACGAACATACTCCGCGCCCTTGATCGGGGTTTACCATGGGACCCAGGTCCCCCAGTTCCTCATCAGCACCAGCAACTACCTCTACCTCCTCTTCTCCACCGATAAGAGTCACTCGGACATCGGCTTCCAGCTCCGCTATGAGAGTGAGTTTCAGCGGGCAGATGGCAGGGTTTGCCCGGGTGGGTGAAAGGCCCAGGACCAGTAGTCTCCCCTCTTGGCCCCATCCCAGGGCATTCTCAAGGCTGTGCTCCTCAGGAGACCCTCCCTTGCTCTCAGCATCTCTCAGAGCTCAGCCTTTAGAGAGAATGAACGTTTCTCGCTAAAGAGCTTTTAGAAAGAGTTGAACCCTCAGAAGCAATGAAAGCTGACGGCCTGCACACCGTTCCTTGTGGGCACACAGCAAGGCCTCTTTCATGTGCAGACAATTGGGGGGCACCATGTTAGGGACCGAGTGTTTGCAGACCGTGAGGTTAAAGTGAGCTGGCATCTCCCACTTGCTGACCTTTCCTCACCACTTTCTACATTCATTGCTGGTGCCTCGATTTAGAGAGACTGATGTCAGTTCAGTTCTACAGGCCACTGTAGGAAGTATGGCCGAGAGCCATTAGGACAGGGTCATTTTCTTACTCGAGTTTATATCCTTGTTGCAAAGCCTTAGCAGACACTCAACCTATGCTTTTTGAATGAATGAATGAATGAATGAATGATCGATCCAGCCAACTTGTTTGCTCTGATCAGTTGTCACATATTCTCTTGGCAGATATTGACAGTACATTTGATGAGTGGGTGAATGGTAACTTAAGCCTGCTGTGAAGCGGGGTCTCTCCTCTCTCCCTCCCTGTCTGAGTCAGCTGGGGTCCCTCTGTGGGGATGGTGAGCTGTCTTTTCCAGCTGTGGGCTCTCTTTTCCAGCTATAACCCTGCAGTCTGACCACTGTCTGGATCCGGGGATCCCCGTAAATGGGCAGCGTCACGGAAATGACTTCTATGTGGGCGCTCTGGTGACTTTCAGCTGCGACTCGGGCTACACATTAAGTGATGGGGAGCCCCTGGAGTGTGAGCCCAACTTCCAGTGGAGCCGGGCCCTGCCCAGCTGTGAAGGTGAGACACATTATCGGGCATTAACGTAGCAGGTTCCTTTCCTTTCACGAAAAACCAGGGGGCACTGACTCTCCCACCATCAGTGAGGGTTGTGGGTTTGAAAGGAGATGGGGGGCAGATTCCCAGAGGATTGGGGGGAGCTCCTTGAGCCAGTCCAGTCTTTCACTGCCCTCTTCACTCCTGTAGCCCTCTGCGGTGGCTTCATTCAAGGCTCCAGCGGGACCATCTTGTCACCAGGGTTCCCCGACTTTTACCCCAACAACTTGAACTGCACCTGGATGATCGAAACATCGCATGGCAAGGGTGAGTGTTCTCGGGCCATTGCAGTATTGGGATATGACACAGTCAGGACCCCACATTCCCGGGTCAGAGTGACCACAGTAAGGACCTCCCTACAGAGTGACCTCTGGGCTTAGGCTGAGTTTTTCTCACCAATAAGAAAGATCCCAGAACCTTTCTCTTCGATCACAGAACTCACAAACAGAATGTTTTAAAATAAGTGTTTTTAAGATCAAAATCCTCATGAGGGAAGAAAGAGATCTTAGAGATTCCAAAATCTCAAATCCTTAGCGCCGGAATCTGCTCTCAATTACTCCCCCTGAGACAGTGACACCCCTTCTGTCTAAAACGTCTAAACATGTCCAGTGGTGGGGAATTGGCCAACTCATCCAGCCAATGGGTACCTATTTTTTGATAGATCTGACCCCTCTTAATAGCCTGTTAGGTGCCGCTGAAACTTCCTTCCTTGTTCTGTGTCCTCGGGGAAATAGGATGCGCCTGCTCCTTCTTCCTCGTGTCCGCCCTTCCGATACTGGAATAGGCGTCACTCAGCTGTCCTCACCAAGCTGGACCGTCGCCTCGCCTTCCCTAGTAGAAATGGTCTTTGGGTGTTCAAGAACAAAGGAGGGGTTCTGGTTGCAAAATAAACATTAATTAGTATACTCTTTCATTCAACAAATATTGATTGAATGGCACCTGTGTGGCAGATACCAGGTCTGGGAATAAACAATGGCCAGACAAATATGGCTTTGACCCTCAAAAGCCTGTTCTTTTTTTTTCTTCAAATATATATATTTTTATTGATTTCAGAGAGGAAGGAAGAGGAAGAAAGGGATACAAACATCAATAATGAGAGCATCATTGACAGCTGCCTCCTGCATGCCCCCTCCTGGGATTGAGCCCACAATCCAGGAATGTGCTCTGACCAGAAATTGAACCGGTGACCTCCTGGTTCTTGGGCCGATGCTCAACCACTGGGCCACATTGGCCAGGCAGAAGCCTATTCTGAAATTCATCTAGAGTCTTGGTTGTTAGCCCCTCTGCACTTTGGCAAACACCTAATGCATAGCTCACACCCTGGAGATTGTGATTTTTTTATGCTGGAGGTGGAAACCAGCCATCTGTGTTTTTAGAACACTTCACCGTTAATTCTGACACATGCCCTTAAATAAGAACCTCTGATCTACAAGAATGAACATGTAGAAAAGCCGGAAAAAAATTTGTTAAGATATTACAATGTTGTTATGGGCTAAAATAATTTTACAATTTAGTGTGAGTATAGGAGTGAACACATGAATCATGGGGGAGAATAAAAGTCCAGAAAAAGGTGTGTGTGTGTATGTGTATGAGAGAGACTGTCTTTAATATGTGATTAAAGTGTCATTTCTAATCTACTGAAGAGAGAATGGATTATTTACTAAATGGTTTTAAAACAGTGGGCTTAAAGCCCTAGCTGGTTTGGCTCAGTAAATAGAGCGTCAGCCTGCAGACTGAAGGGTCCTGGGGGTTCAATTCTGGTCAAGGGCACATGCCTGGTTGTGGGCTCGATCCCCAGTAAGGGGCATGCAGGAGGCAGCTGATCAATGATTCTGTCATCATTGATGTTTCTATCTCTCTCTCCCTCTCCCTTCCTCTATGACACCAATAAAAATAAATATTTTTTAAAAAAAACAGCGGGCTTAAACATCTGGAAAGAAAGAAACAAATTATACCTCAAATATTTAACCACATAAACTCCAGTCCTCGAACATGGAACTCTATCCTCAAATAGGGACATATTTTAAGGAGTGGCACTGAAAGTAGAATCCATAAAAGCAAAGACTGTTAGATTTGATTAAGTAGAACTTTGAATGGAATTATTATTTTTTAAGCCATTAAAGTTTCAAATAGTAAATAAATGAAAATATTTGCAACATATAATCTACTCAGGGTTCCTAACCTTCGGCATGAAAAGCTTTTAGAATATTGAAGAAACTATTCCTGCTCTCCAGGACTATAAAATGAACAGATCTATAGACTAACATTTCACAATAGAGGGAATACAACTGAAAAGACATCACCTCCACTGATAGTGAAAGAAATGCAAATTCCACCTGGAATGAAACACATTTTCCTTTTCAAGTTGGCAAAGAAGATTGTAACCGTGCGCAGTCAGTGTGGAGCCACGGAGACTCTCTTTCACTGCTGACGTGTGAAATGGTTGAAACTTTCAGAGGGAGATTCGGCGACGTGGATCAAAAGTCTTAAAAATGCACGTTCCTGCCCTAGCCGGCTTGGCTCAGTGGATAGAGCGTCGGCCTGCGGACGGAAGAGTCGCAGGTTTGATTCCGGTCAAGGGCACATGCCTGGGTTGCGGGCTTGATCCCCAGTGGGGGGCGTGCAGGAGGCAGCTGATCAATGATTCTCTCTCATCATCGATGTTTCTATCCCTCTCTTCCTCTCTGAAATCAATAAAAATATATTTTAAAAAAATGCACGTTCCATGGGACCCAGCAACTCCACTTCTTGAAATTGACCTGAAGAAGAAAAATAAACTGTGCATCCAGGTTTCACTGCAAGGATGTCTCCTAAAACATACTATTAATTAAAAAATTAGAAACTATTTAAATGTCTGTCAGTAAGGAAATGATAAATAAATATAGGGGGCAGCCACATTTCACATGTAAAGCGTACTATTTATATAAGAAAAGAAATTTTGAAAGAAAAGCCAACGTATAGCCCCATCTAAGAACTGAAGCGCTTTCACTTTTGCCTTCAATGGGCCGACCTGCGGGGATTAGATGGCCTGCAGCTCCTGGGGCAGGGCAGGACCTGGCAGCTGTCAGGCGAGGCCAGTTGTCCCCTTGTCCCCACAGTATTGTTCTTGAGCGGAGGGACCAGGACAGCGTCTTTGCTCATCCGGCAGAGCCGTTTCACCGCGCCTGAGCTGGAAGCTGCTCCGTTACGTGAAGAGGGAAAGAAAGGCAGCCCTTTCCATCCCTAGAGGAACAGCCCCTCCAGTCATGATTTTCTCTTTCTGGGCCCCTGTCATTCGGGGCCATGTGTTTTGTCTTTACCTGGAAGTCAGTGGGGTTCAACAGGTTTTTAATACTTATTTGACACTTGCACTCATCCTGGGTGCTAGGAAAACATGGCCACTGAGTGCTGCCTGCCTTCGGGAAGGTTATGGTCCAGTGGCAGAGAGAGGAAGCCTGGAGATCTCTGGTCTAGCAGGGCCAATGCCGAGGTGGAGCGAGAGGTGGGGAACATCCAGAGGCCAGCCCAAGGTGGAAGCAGGCCTGGGCTGAGACGTAGGCCATTCTTCCAGGATGGGTGGGAATTGGCCAGATGAAAGGGGTTCCAGGCAGAAACAACAAGAGGTCAGTGACCTACGACCTGGTCATTTAAAGGCTTTGCCTAACCTTTATGAAATTGTAGAATAGCCAGCACGGCCCCTGAGTACCTTTCTCAGCCTCATCCTGAGCCCCATAAACACTAAATTCTAACTACGCTGAGCTTTCAGTTCCCAGAACTGTCCGGGCTTTCTTTGCTCTCTAAAGCTTTACACAGCGGGTTGATTTTCTTCTCTCTGTGACACTTCCTCTTCCCTCAGTCCTCTCTTCTGCACTGTTCCCCTTGCGTGGCCAGCACTTCATCCTCCTGAATTCACCTCCTCTAATGATCCTTCCCAACCCCACTTCCCAGCCTCAGGTCTGGGTTGGGCTCCCCTCTGGGGACCCCAGTGGTCCTGCACCTTCCCAGGTCCACCCTTGGCCCCACTGCACAGAACTTGCATTTTCATCCTCTGTCTCCCCCTCAGACTCGGTTCTTTGAGACACATGTCTGCCTTGTTTCCTACAGTTTTCCTGTCTCGGCTCTATGCCTGGCTCATAAGAAACTCAAGAAATATCTGTATGAATTGAATTAAAGTGAGCCCAGACCCTCTCCAAGAGGACGCTGCTTATAAGAGCATTTCGGGTAAATAGACCTATTAGGCTCCTCACTCTGTTTGCTCCCCAACAGGCAGAAGGCTATCAGTAGAAACTCAGAACTCTGGGAAATGCAGAATTATTTGTTTGCCACACACCCAGCCCAAGGGAACAGCCAATTCAGGAGCCCAGAGAAGGTATCCTTGCTGAGGCCCCAGGATTGACATATTTCCTAAAACCTACAAGATGGTCTGGGAGTTAGATGAGCTGAGCAAAGAGAACACCTACTATGTGCCAGGCATGGCGCTTTGCATATGCTGTCCCTATCACTCCTCACTCCAAGGATTATATGTCCCCTGAGAGGGTGACGCTGCCATCCACATATTGTAGCTGAGGAAACTCAAACTCGGGGTGTGCTGAGCAGCTGTGTCCCAGCCCCTCAGCAGGTGGGTGGGCTCTGACACAGGTCTGTCTCCCTCCGAAGCCCTGTCTTTCTGCTCCAGCCTGGGATCCATGTCCTTCGTATGACTCTGCGTGGTTCACTCCAGTGAAGTATTCGTTTATGGGTATCTGTCACACCAACTCTGGATCCAAGTGCCAACCTGGGGCCTCGCTTTCCGTGACAATGTCTTCGTCCCTCACAGCGGCCAGAAGAGCCCAGCAATCGGCACAGCTGGGAAGCCAGGGGTTTCCTCTCAGTTGTTTACTCATCCTTAGAATCCCTGCCAAGCGCTCCCTCCTAGGGAGGGCTGTTTGCGTGCAGGGCGAAGCGCTTCCTCAACCCCGCTGCCCCTCTTACTGCGTCTGGCCCCTGTCCACCAGCCCTGCGCTCCAGCTGCGAGGGGAAGGGCCTACATTCCACAGAGCCTGCCCCAAGCTCTGTAGACCAAGAACCGTTTCCCATTTGCACACGTTTGTGTGTCGGGAGGATAGGATCCATGCGAGCTCACATACCCGTGTGTCTCCAAGCATGCTCACACTCATCATGTCAAGGACCGCAATCCCTGGGAAGCCTTCCCAACCTCCAGACACCTTTGCTCACTCTTCCTGGGCTCCCCCTCTGGATTCTCCCTATCGATGGTCTATCTCCTCCACTAAACTG